TGGAGGGGCCGCCTCAGGGACCAGTGGGGACGATCCTTTTGCCAGTTTCACGGCCCGTGGGCATAGGATGCAAACGAAAGGGCCCTTTTTGTTGTGTTTGAATGGTGGTTCCTACTCGAGCCAACGGATTGGCCCCCTGTTGAAAGGAGTCTGCAGGCAGCCTGTGAAGATGGCCAGAGGTGCCAGGGCTGCCATAGATCTCATCCCGGAGGGCAAACCTCCTGTCTCGAAGGTGCCTTTCTAGTTTTGGGTCCTGGGAGGCTGGCCTCAGTGGCCAGACCGTGGGCCCTGGAGTGCAGGGAGTTGGCGGGAAACTAGCTGGCGTTGCTATTATTGTAATCCTGCAATCCTCCTCATTCTCCTCCTCCTCCTCCCTCCTCCTCCTCCTCCTCTCCTCCTCCTCTCCTCCTCCTCCCTCCTCCTCCTCCTCCTCCTCCTCCTCCTCCCCCCCGCAGCTGGCATCGGCGTCCCACGGAGGACAAAAAAATCCTCCTCTCCCCCTCCTCTGCGTTGCGTCCCTACTCCTCCTCCTCCTCCTCTCCTCCTCATCCTCCTCCTCCCTCCTCCTCCTCCTCTCCTCCTCCTCCTCCTCCTCCTCTCCTCCTCCCTCCTCCTCCCTCCTCCTCCTCCTCCTCCTCCTCCTCCTCCTCCTCCTCCCTCCTCCTTCCTTCCTCCTCCTCCTCCTCCCCCCCTCCTCCTCCTCCTCCTCCTCCTCCTCCTCCTCCTCCTCCTCAAGGCCGCGGACGGCTCAGGCCCACGAGTGTGGCGGCCTTTGCCACCCTTCCGCGCTCGCGCCCTCGACCCGCCAGGATCGGGGCGCTGCGACCCCCCCTGGCACCGCGGTGCGGCCCCGCGCCGCGGTGCTCCGCCAGGGGGGGGGTCAGGAGGCATGGAGGAGAAGGACGCGGGGGAGGAGGAGAGGATCAAGGACCAGGAAACGGTGATCACGAGGGGGGGGAAGGACATAGGTAACCAGGGCATCATGATGGGTCGGGGCCTGAAGACGATTAACGAGCAGGTCGAGTCGACAGATCGGGCCGAGGGGATCACAGAGGGCGAGAGTATCGCGTATCCCCCATCACCAGCAACACCCCCATCACGAATACGTGCCACATTTATTGGATTTAATCCATATACTTTAGTACGGACAGGTAGAGCCGAGGCGATCTCAATGGAGTTCGCCAAGACAACAGCCATTCTGCTCCCTGGCACGAAGATGCCGATGCGCCTGGGCCATGCCCATTTTTACGAGAGGACCCCCGATCACCACTGGATCCACTGGGGATGGGGCAGGGGAGGTAGTACGAACTCGGCCGCGGGAGTAGCTATTGCAGTATCCAGCCGCCAGTTTCAGCAGAGACATATCGTACGAATCAACCACCCGCCTCACCACTTGCAAGGACGAGCTGGCAGCATAGACCTCCAGCGTGGACCCTTACGACTACGGTTAATCGTGGGATACTACCCTCCCAGAACCAGCTCGGTAGGTCGCATCCAGATATGGCGTACTACTTGTAGACAGCTCACAGCCTGGATTAAAGAGGAGATTGACCACGCCCCAGGGCGCATCACACCCATAGTCTTCGCTGATATGAACCTTCGGATGGGACGGAAAGGGAGCACGGTTTTCCACGACGAATATATTGGACCCTTCCAGGCCGAGCATGAAGATCAGCTTGCCACAGTTACCCGTAGGTCGTATGCCGACAGCCAGATGAGCTTCCTCAACACATTCTTCGACCTGGGACATACTTTTTACGGGCTTAAGGGAGCTAGGAGTCGTATCGATTATTTTCTAGGACCTCGAGCATTACTGGACACGGGAATCCAAATGCATATGTTCTGGAAATCTCAGAAGAGACTCCAAGCCCTCCCACACATGATCGATCATGTCCCTATGTGTCTGAGGCTATCCCTTCCAGCACCCACCCCCCGTGATCAACAACAGAATATCCAGTGAGACTGGGGGGCCCTGGCCCCTTCGCTTCAGACAGGGTATCGAAGAGAGGAGTTCTTGGCCAGGATGGGGCAGGTCTGGGAGGAGAGGAGAGTGTTGTGCAGAGCCCTCACCACGGACGGCGAGCCGACCAGGCACGCCGGCGTCGTCGCGCACAGCATCAGGGAGGTCGCTCGGGATTTTTTTTCGGCTGAACACTCCGTTCCAGACTGGGCCCAGGAGGCCAAAGCGGAGAGACGAGAACTGCTGATTCGGAGGGCTAGTATGCGGGACCAGGGATTTCGGCTTGATTGCGAACCACTTCGACGAATCGACTCGGTGATCAAGGCGCACGCGAGGTGGAAGGAGTGGTGGAGGAAGGAGTCGCTCGAGCAGGAGATCAGGGAGGCATGGGAGGTACGGGATCAAGCTAGAGTGGGCAAACTCGTCCGACTTCGAGCTGGTACCAGAACGGGACCCAGGAAACGAAGCTATCTCGCCCTCCCGATGTGCCGCCCCAACTCGACCGACTTCAGAGAAGCCCTTAAGAAACCTGGTATCGAGGGGGGGCTCACGGCGGTCGACACGGTCTTAAGCGTCCACATGAACCCAGATAAGATCAAGACCCTGATCGAGGCCCCCCTAGAGGAGCTCCCAGCGTACGGCCCCAGAGGTTTGTCCTTGCCCACGATCGAGGATATCGAGTGTGCGACAGAAGACCTAGACTTCCTGAAGGCAAGGTTACGTCACTGTCACCACCGTAGGTATGCGCCACCTTGGTCGTGGCCAGTGGAGGTCACGAAGCTACTCCTCTTCCCCTCGGTCCTCTTCAGGCCGAGCAACTCACGCGAGGGTATAGGCTCCGCATGGCGAGCCCGCGACCCAGACCTGTTGGACTTCAAGGCGCAGACTACCCGCCCTCGGCGCCAGCTTGTAATTGATGACGTCCAGGCTCGGGCAGGATACGACATGCTGGTACAGTTGTTATCGCACGTTCGAGCACGGTGGCTACTACCACGGCACGCGCGCACCAGCCATGCCATAGCCATAAGCAAGCCAGGTAAGCTGCCAACAGGAAACACGGTCGTGGATATCACACGATGCCTGAGACTTCTTCACTGTTTTTGCCACTGGTGGCGACTTCTACTACGTGTAGGACTAGTTGACTATGGTAGCACGTTCGACCCCCCTACATGGGCGCACGGTGGCATAATACACAGGAGGAGGGAGGGACTCATGATCGTGATCAAACTCGTCATGTGGAAATAGCGCACGTGCAAACACTACTACATTGTCAAATCATACGACATGAGGAACGCGTTTGGCACGGGGGATCAGGAACGCTTGCACAACGCACATCGGTCACGTGGTGTCGACGAATATTTCGATGAGCTTCTCACACATCATAGGAGCACGGGAATATTGTACTATGAGGCGAGTGACGGGGACGCGGCGATGACACCGAAGACGGGAGGGAGGGTGGGCGACTCGAATGAGCCAGAATTGTTTATAGAGTCCTTCTACCCGATTGTCAGTGCGTGGCAGCGTGAACTCGGAACCATCATTGGAGACAGCCTTTCGTGTAGAGGCCCCTTACACGACAGATGGGACGACCTCGCCTTTGGCGGCTTCATTGACGACCTGATCCGAGTCCTGATCATACCGAGTGGAACAGCACGCGAGGCCGTGAGCCTCGACCACCTTGATAACCATATTTTAAACAAGTATCTCGAGGAGGGCGGATATGCACAACACGTTCAGAAGCAAGAGACTCTCGTACATCTAGCGACATGCAGGGGCACGAAGGAGGCGGAGGAGCGGGTATCGGGGAGCACGATGATGAGTTTCAAACACTTGGGGGGGGGGTACATTAATGTAAACGGCAGCAACAAACATGAGGTGCAAGCACGAGTACGCGCAGGATCTATAGGATGGTGCAACCTACGTAAGTACTGGAGCGAGCCTGGCCCGTGGAGGAGTAAGAGGAGTACCTTTCTGGCCAACGTTGCTGGCCGTGTCTGGTCTGGATTGGAAGCGTATGTACTCACCCCCTTGGAGATTCGGACCCTCGACACCTCCCTCGCAAAGAAGATGAGGGCGATGATGGCGGGTGCGGCACATGTTGAGCACGAAGACGGCACCCACACGTCCCTCACGTCCCGAGCTGTCTTCGAAGAATGGCAAATCCCGCCCACGGTGGTGGAGCTGACGATAAGGAGGTTGGGGTGGTGGCAGTCGATCATGAACAATCCAGAACACCATCGTCACTACCTCAGCGCCTTCTTTGGAGAGTGCAGGTTCGAGGAACGGGCGCGCGCGGCAGGAGCACCAGCAGCAGCACGCACAGCTCTTGAGAATGGCGAACTCAACCCGTCCATGGACGCGCACCCCTGGGCCCGCCAGTTCCGCGAGGACCTCGAGACGGTCCTGTCTCACCCCGTGGGCGAAGATGTCCGAGTGCTCTGGGAGCCCCGCACCCTAGAGAACCTATTTTGCAATCCTGAAGTTTCGGAGGCCTTCCGCGCGTGTGATTTCCGTGTCATGAGATCGACGGTGCGAGGACAAGAGTGGGCTCCCCCTGAGCACGTCGCCCAACAGCTCCCGAGCGATGACCCCCTTGGCGACACAGACAGCGAGGAAGAGGAGCTCGCCCCACTCGTATGCGGGATTGAAGGATGCCGTGCGCGCTTCACTACGAATCGCGAGCTGGTCAAGCACCAGCTCAATGCGACAACCCTCCCTGGCCACGGCACGCCCCTCGTTCTCTCCCAGATTTGCGTGGACAATAAATGCGTCAACTGCGACACGGTCTTCAGCAGTATTGATCACACGAGGAGACACTTGTTTCGAGCGTGGATGTCGGGTCGATGCGTCCCTGAGCTGACGAGGCACACATATGAATGGAGTACGGCTGAATCGATGACCTGTCCATTGAAGGACCAGTGCGACCTCCCTGGATGTCAAATGGAATACAGTGGTCGAATGGCATTCAGAGCACATCTTCGCGCACACATCCCACCGTGTCCGTCAGGATCTTGGCTCAAGACTTCTCAGCCTCAGCCAGCCCACAGCAGACGCGACCTTCCCGCGCGCGTCCCTCCGCCGCCGCCAGCGTGGAGGCCAGTGGACACACCAGACGAACGAGACAGATTACGAGCCAGCTATCAAGAACTCGTTCGACCAGCAGCAGCCCCTCCACCCGGCCGAGCGCGGAGACCAGCAGTTGCGAGAGCCCAACCGACAAGTACAGCCAGAGCATCTTCGGCACCACCAGAGACATCAGCTCGGAAACATACATCGTCGCGGGTAACAGCCGCGACAACACCCCAGCCCCTGCCCTTCGAGAGCCATGACGGCGGCGGCGGCACGCCCCCAGGACGAGCAGAACCAGCGAGCCAAGCCACCTCCTGCGTGGCTCCTGACGGGCTCCTCCCTTGCCTCGCTGCCCTCTGGAAGAGACGATTCGGCGCCTCCTGCATCGAAGAGGCACAAGGACGGCGACAAGGACGGCGACAAGACGATGACGGCGGTCGAGGGCGCAGCCAAGGACGGCGGCAAGGGCGGCAAGGGCAAGAGCAAAGGACATCGAGGTGGCCGACGCGGACGACGAGGTGCGAACCACACGGACAAGAAGTGGACCTCGAAGGACGCCAACATGCAATCCCTCCTCAGCACCCTGTGCAAGCTCACCCTTCAGAACACGTTCAAGCTGAGGATGATGGCGGCAACCATCATAGACACCTTCACGGTCGAGAAAGATCACGAGGTGGTGCAGAAGCTAGAGGCCGTGCTGGTGGACTACCGCAAGGCCATCGAGGAGGCGAGGCAGACGGGAATCGAGGCCCTCCAGAAGATCGGCAGCCCCGTCGCCTCGCTCGTGGTAGGCCTTCTCGAGAGCTTGATGCGCTGCGACATTGGCGGCAAGAGCAAGAAGGACATCGCAGCGTACTTGGACGGCATCACCCCAGCGGCACCAGGAGTAGAGCCAGTAGTCACGAGGATGAATATAGAGCTCGACGTGGCCGCGATCAGGGTCGAGAAATGCCACGACGATTCCAGATTGAAAATCCAGATTGCGGCCCCGCAGTGGCCAATGAGAGGTGTAGTGGCACACGCGTTCATTTCAGTGGGGCGGGCCACCCGCCACACAGGCCCAGCCCCTCCAGGCTGGCTGGAGGACGAGCTGGCGAGTTGGCTCGAGGTCCTCAAGTAGTGTTTGTTAGAGGTGGCATCCTAGGGGGCACCATCGCTGCACCTCCTCCCTCCTCCTCCCAGCCCGTGGCGCCTGCAGTCGACCTGGTCGACGACGACTACTGTCCTTTTGACTTCGACTAGGGCGCACACGCATTGGCCCGTGCCGAATGCCTCTCCGTCCTTTTCCTGCCCCTCCAGGCTGGCTAGAGGACGAGCTAGCGAGCTGGCTCGACGTTCTCAGCAAGTAGTGTTTGTCAGAGGAGAAACCTTAGGGGGCACCGCTGCTGCATCGACTCCTGCCTTTTCCCAGTCTGCCGCGCCTGCCGTCGATCAGATCTAAATGTTTTGTCTCTCCCTGGGCCTAAAGGGGCTTCAGATATACGCTGTCACGGTGTCCGCGATATACGCTGTCACGGTGTCTGCGCTGGCCCCTCTCTTCTGCTTCTGTCCGCTTGACTTCGACGAATAGGGCGGCCCCGCATTGGCCAGCGCCGAATGCCACTCTGTCCTTTTTCCATCCCTTTGCAGCATGGTGCACGGGGCCTCCGAGAGAGGCGCAATTCACCCTCGCATGCAGTCTGACCCCCGCCTCGGCGTCGCAGCATCGCCGTGCGCACTCGCCTGCATAGCTGTGCCAGGATAGGACGGGCAGGAGAAGCCCGATCCAGCGACGGGCCGCCTTCAATATACACGTTTGCTGACACGCATCAGCTTGGCACATGGCCCCACTCGTCGAGTAAAAAAAAAGTCTCCTCCTCCTCCTCCCCCTCCTTCTCCTCCCTCCTCCTCCTCCTCCTCCTCCTCCTCCTCCTCCTCCCCCTCCTTCTCCTCCTCCTCCTCCTCCTCCTCCTCCTCCTCCTCCTCCTCCCCTCCCTCTCTAGCGGAGCGAACAATGACAGAAGCGTACAAACTCGGATGTCCGCGCAGATTTATCGGATCGGCGCTGGGGCCCCCTGGCGGCGCCGCCCCTGGCGCGCTCCGCGCTGGCGCCTCTGGCGCGCTCCTTGTAGGGTGAGGTGGGGAGACTTCTTAGAGACACTCCCAAAGGAGCTCCTAGCTGCTTCTTAGAAGCTGCTCCCTGGCGCGCTTGTGGGAAGCAGGCGGCCTGCTTCCAAGAGGCGGTTGCTTCCGAGAAGCAGCCCCGTGCTTCTGAGAAGTTGCTGGGATGAGTCTCAGAAGCTGCGCGCCCTTGGCGTCTGAGAAGGGGGGCCGGCGCCTTCTAGCAGGCGGCCGCCTTCTAAGAAGCCTCCCCCCCTCTCCCTACCCCCTTGTGCGCGCCGACAACTGTCAGGAGGAAAAGAAACACACAGACACAATGAATCCTCGATTCCCCAGAAAATATGGGAAATTATGGGAAGTGGGGGGGAAGACAGAAACCCAGAAAATATAGGAAATGTTGGGGAATCTTTTTATTTGTGTGTATTTATTTGTGTGTCCTGGGGCCCCTTCAAACTGAAGTCGGGCATGTCCCTCTACAGGAGGAAGATTCAAGAGTGGTACGAAAATAGTACGTGCACGCTGTTTCGTGCGATTCTTTTTTGTTTCCCTCCCAAAATCCGCAGCCGCGCCGCCGCCAGCAGGATGCATGTCCCTCTACAGCAGGAGTGCTCAAGAGTAGTAAAACAATAGCCTGGTGCGATATTTCGTGCTCTTCTGACTCTGCTTGATTTTTTTGTTGGCTATTTGTTACGTTCCTCCCGGACTCCGCT